CAAAAAGGTGGTGTGCAGACGCAGGTTTAAATATCAACCCTTCCAAGACAGCTATAGTCACCAAGAAACGAAAGCTCCAGGGGATGAGGAACTTGACCTTGGACGGGGTCGTAATCAATGTCGCCAAAGAGGTTGAATATCTGGGACTGGGAAGTAAGTTTCTGTGGAGGGCCCATGTTGATGCGGTCACCTCTAACGCCACGAGCGATGATGGTGTGCAAACCTCTAGCGGGTAAATCCAGGGGGTACACTCCGAGGATCCTCAGATTGATGTACACCATGATAGTGAGACCTATAGTGACTTATGGTGCGGTGGCTTGGTATTTCAGGACTACTATGGGAACGGTGAGCCAGGCCCTCTCTAAGATTCAACGCCTGGAATGTGTATGCATTACCGGAGCAATGCGCACATGCCCGACGGCAGCCCTAGAGGTAATACTGGAACTCGAGCCACTGCATCTCTCAATTCAACAGGCGGCAGAGCGAACCCTCCATAACTTTGCGAAATAGGGCTTCGGCAAAGCCAAGGTGTTATCATCTAGGAACAGGGACAAGCTAGGTACCAAGCTCCCTCTAGCTTTGTTCCCCAGGGACGATATAAACAGGGAGGTGGTCTTCAAAAGAAATTTCAGGACCCACACTTATAACAAGGCGACCTGGTGTACCTCTATTATGGAGAGTCCCATACAGGCGAGCACAATACAGTGGCACACTGACGGCTCTAAAACACCTGCGGGGATTAAAGCAGGCGTGTACGGCCCCAGGCTGAAGCTTTCTATGCCCCTGGGAACCTTGCCTAGCATCTTTCAAGCGGAGGTCTATGCCATCAGTATATGCGCTGAGATTAACATTCACAGGAAGTATAGGAATGAAAGGATACTTATACTAAGTGATAGTCAGGCAGCACTTATGGCCCTCTCATCGTTCGAGAGCAAGTCCTCCTTGGTTTTGGAGTGTGTCGAGAGGCTTAATGCTCTGGCGGAGGTTATTGATATCCAACTAATGTGGATACCAGGGCACATGGTAGTTGGAGGAAATGAGGAAGCCGATCAACTGGCCAGAATACCGCTTCCTCGACCTCGATAGAACCTGAGCCATTTCTGGCAGAAAATTGCAAACTGAGGGAACTGCACTGGCGTGGCACTATGGGCCAACGACAGGCAAAAAGCATTTAGGAAGCTACAATCAGGCAAGATACAGGGTACTCATGGATCTCTCAAAAGAGAAACTAAGAATTATTACAAGTTTTCTGACGGGACACTGTAGACTCAGAGGGCACTTGAATAAACTAGGTATCTGGTCCAGCGACCTGTGTCGCTTTTGCGATGCGGGCAAGGAGACTCCTCTACACCTTGTTATGGAGTGTGAGGCCGTTGCACGCAGGAGGTATAGGAGAATAGGGAATGTCTGGCCAAAAGAGGAGCACTTACACTCACTGTCCCCGGGGTCTATTATGAAATGTATAGACACCCTGGGTCTGGTTGAGGTGTTGTGATGAGCTAGGGGCACAATAGACCTACTGGTCGCAGTGCCATACCCAACTATCTATCTATCTATCATTATATTGATATTATTCATTTGTTTCTAGGTATATTTACATATCGATGGTCTTTAGAATTATCGAAACAACGCAAAATTTCATATTTTTCTTTGGAGCCAATTAAAGATTTTGTGTTTCGTAGTTAATTTAGCAATAATATGTATTTGGAACGAAATTATTTCGGATTATTAGCAGTCACACTGTAGGGAAAATTTGTAAGCTTTCAAATAATGACTTTTCTCGAAAAGTATCGAAATAATTAAGAACTCCTAAGTAGCTCAACAAAGAGAACTCCACTGGTGCTACTGAACAACGGCACACAACAAAAAATGTCGTTATTTCTCATAAA